ACTAAAATGAAATATGAAAAATAACAAAGGGCAATAACTAAAAAAATAATAAGTGCAGAACAGCAGTTTTATGTACACTGCACTTCTAATCAATAAGATCTATCATTCTATGATGTTTCAAGTCCATAGCTTTCATACTTGAGGAGAAATGACCAGGACAAAAATAAAGTAAGAAAATCAACAAAGGGCATTAACTCAAAAATAAGAAATGCAGGGTATCAGTTCTTATGCACTGCACTTCTTTTTAATGAGATCTATCATCCTATGAAGTTTCAAGTCCATAACTTTTATACTTTCGGAGAAATGGCCTGGACAAAAATTAAGTATGAAAATTAACAAAGGGCCATAACTCAAAAATTAAGAAATACAGAGTAACGATTCTTGTGCACTGCACTTCTTAATAATGAGATCTATCATCCTATGAAGTTTCAAGTCCATAGCTTTTATACTTAAGTAGAAATGGCCCGGACAAAATTAAAGTATGTAAATAAACAAAGGGCAATAACTCAAAACATAAGAAATGCAGAGTACCAGTTCTTATGCACTGCACTTCTTCTTAATGAGACCTATCATCCTATGAAGTTTCAAGTCCATTGCTTTTATACATTAGGAGAAATGGCCTGGACAAAAATAAAGTATGAAAATTAACAAAGGGCAATAACTCAAAAATTAGGAAGTGCAGAGTACCGATTCTTGTGCACTGCACTTCTTAATAATGAGATCTATCATCCCATGAAGTTTCAAGTCCATAGCTTTTTTAGTTGAAGAGAAATGGCCCGGACAAAATTAAAGTATGAAAATTAACAAAGGGCAATAACTCAAAAAATAAGAACTGCAGGGTACCAGTCCTTGTGCACTGCACTTCGCGTTATTGAAAGAAGCATGCATACCAAGTTTGAAGTCAATCAGACTTATAGTGACTAAGTTATGCTCCGGACAAGCTTTAAGGGACGCCGACAACGACACAGACGCCGCCGACACTGCCGACAAAAGTAACCCCTATATGTCACCTTTTCAAGGCGACACAATAAAAATAAGGTGAAATGAATTAATTAATTCTATTATGTAATAGTTTTTTAATATTATACCTTATCACATGACACTTAATTACTATTCTTGGTGAAAAGAGGGTTAATTTATTACAGACAAGACGCAAGCTTGCCGCATAAGCTAGACCCTTTATAGGAAGTGAAAGACATAAAAATTCGTCTTCTGGAGAGAAACAAGTAAAGAAACCACGAAAAGGAAAACAGAAAATCTTTAAAACACCAATTGAAACTGAAATATCCAGATCGTTCAGATGCCTTAAATCTTAATGAGCAGAGACCATTTCTGTACACAGAAATCTGGCACAATGATGAGCTTTTAATAAATGTGTTAGAATATGCACATTCTGTTGTACGGCCCAACATGGAATTAACTTGCAATTGTATCACTTCGAAAAAGGCCATGGAACCTTAAGATATCATTTTAACCCACAAGGAATGTTACAGTTATTCTGTTAAAGAAGATGGAAGGAGTGTAAATATGTGCACATTCAAATGTTCAGCTAAATGTTTCTATATATATTTTCTGAAGAAAGGGTGTTTGTTAACCAGGCTTTCATTTTTTGTATAGATTGATTCATCATGAACAGATAATTGAAAGAAAGTCACAAGAAATTATTGAGAGATGTATTCGACTTCATGTGAAGAGTTTTTCAAAGAAAAAGGAATTGTAGTCATAGTGTCTATTAACATGGGTGGTTATTGCATTTACTTTTATTCTCAAATAAATATACATATTAACACTTATATGATTGTTTTTTTCTAGACTATTTGTAGATGTTTATCGATAATTTTGTGATTATAAAATTGCTGTTTGTTGGCCTGAAATTGATTTTGGACTGTTCGATTTAATTTCGCCGCTTGATGTAAACAAAGGACAGTTATCCAACATTAAACACAATTGATAAAATCAAATGTCAGCTTGATGATTTAACCCAACACACACTGTAATATGCTTTTAAAGTTATGCATATGCAGTTTACCTAACATTGCTGCATTACAACTTCACAATGCACCACAATGACTTTTTTCTGGGGCATTCATTAACAAAGCGGTAACAATTTGGTGTTTATAACTTGACCTTCCGAACTTTAATATAGTCTGTGAATGTGTTGAAATTCTTTAGCATAGCACATGTGGTACCACCATTGTAAATGCATTACACAGGAAATCACTTGGGTCAGATATATTATTTATTTCTGATTAACAGACTTATGTCACATTTATCGATATTGGGTAATGATTTATGCATCTATTATATTGCTTAAGACACTATTGCCCATCAAATTATTTCTTTCGCAGAGGCGGTGTTATCCAAGGGTTGAAAAGTCGTTGTCATAAACAAACACTTTCAGTTTCATGCCATCCTTGAAATTTACAATAAAGCTTATCTGATTCAGAGGGAGCACTCCTTTCTGGGGTATCAATATACATCATACGTGTCATCAATCGCAACTTTTTGGCCCTTTCCTATTGAGCAATAATAACCGAAGATATTCCGATTAACATGTCATTTTTACGACATGATGGGATACCGATTTACGTTAGTGTAAAGTACAATGTCGCACAATTGGCGAGCGTACAAGAAGAAAATAAGAGCGAATGATGCTCGTAGTACTGTTACTTTGACGAATTACTTTAAAAAGGGAAGATTTGATGACCCTGCTGTGAGTTTAACACCTTCTAGTACTACAGTATCTATTATAACATGTAATCCCCCTGAACCGAAGTCCAGCGCAAACCTGAAATGTGTTTTAACATATAAAAATATACAAATAGATATTTTCCCCAAAAGTGCAAAAATCACGCATATTTTCCCCACAAAAACGGCTAGGGCCCCTTCCCCAAAACTAGTAAAAAGGCCCTGTAATTATATTCTTGTTTTATAAACTAAGCTCAGATAATAATTAAATTATTTGTCCATCCATCTTCATTTTGAGATGATTTTGCATTATTGTAATTTGCTTCATCATTATTTACCGTATATTTTTCTGATTTATTAGCAGGATGATTAAATTTTTGGACTTGTGTTTTATAATGGTAAGTGTCTGTAAACATGTTATATTTGCAGCTTGTGATACCTGCATTTTTACCTTACTAGAAACAATGTCTAGACAACAGTCACAGATCTTGGACACCTTTCACCGGTTGGTGTTGTCTCAAAAACTAGAAAGTCCAGGTCAAGCTGAACCCACTGGTTTGCTAGAAGGAATCAATTAACCACAGACCAGATTCAAGCAATGAAGAACAGGAGGTTGTTGAGAAAGTTTAACAAGAACCTGGTTGTTTCGATGGCGAAGACCTCTATGAAAAATATGTGGTCAGAAGCTGGTACAGTTATTGTCTTATCGTTCAATCCTCATTTAACAACAAAGTTTTTACAAACAGAATTACAACTAATTTCTCAGACGTCATAAAAGGACTCAATCAAAGATAACACCTCCATGTTTGAGACACAGAGTTCAAAAGAAAAATACTCCAAAAGGCAATCTAAAACACACATTTTTCAAGAAGGGAATAGTGTGTGGACAAAGAATTACAAAAAAAATCATCTGAAAAATGGGTTGAATAGGAATAGTTCATCAATTTGGTCTAGTAAATTACAAGGTAAACGTTGGGGTTTTAACTTGGAAAAGACCTATTCATCAAGTTCTGGGTAGAGAAATATATAATATTATACCCTAATAATTCTATTTAGCGCCCGGGCTTTTATTAGAATCATAGACTTTTCGAAAGTTGGGGATGGGCGTTAATTGGAGACGCATCTTCATAAGACAAACTAATTTTCTAAGCAAGGCTTTATAAATCCACTCGCCCCTCATAACTATAAGAAGAAATCGAATCCGAAGATAGAGCGGATGTTGATTTATAATTGCCGACAACGCTAAAGTCGATTTCGGTATCGTAACGTACCGGCTAAAGTCTGTTCTTTTCCGCACTTTAATACCGTGCATGTCCGGTATCCGAGCACGGGAATAAAAAATGTACCTCACGCATTTTTACTGCAAAAATATTATGATTTTTCCCAACGAAATATTTATGTAAGGTTACCAATTAACTCTGTAATCTGGGATGTTCTATACAATTCAAAAAGTCAATGGAATATTTCGAGTCCGCGATCATTATGCATTTTTTACCCGCCAATATAATTGTTAAAAAAAAGTAAGAATAGTTTCTGACCGATTTTACTGACACAAGCATATAATTATGTTCTTAAATGGATTGATGCGGGATTTTGATATAAAAAGACAATCGTCTATTGTTCAAAATAATTTTAATCAGAACTAATCTCCCATGTTGGGCCCCAATACATTGAACCACGCACGTTGACCTTGCTGACGTAATGAAATAGGCGCGTGAGTCTCGGAATGGTTATTTTTTATACATGTATATATATATCTTATACACATAACACATTGAATTATGACAACACCTATGCTTGTGTCTATAAAATCTGTTATTAAGGGATATCACGTTTACAAATATACATGCCCAGTCGGAACTATACTTCAGTAATTTGGAACAAGAAAATGAACATAGTGATAGCGCAATTATCGTAACAAAATAATGGATCTCTTGTTGGACATATACCGAAGGGATTATGTCAGCCTCTTACAAAATTATTCATAGATGGACTTATTGTAGAAATCAGTGCCGAAATACTTGGAGAACCGCGTTCGTCATCAAAAGGAACTTTTGTAAAAGGTGGTGGCATTGAAATACCGTGTACATATAAACTTTACGGAAAAAAAGACAAGAAAAGGGAAGTTCGTTCCTACGTGAAAACGGAAATAAGGAAACTTGAATTGTAAAGGTAAGCTCAATTGTACTCAAATCGGTGGATGGGCGTTTAAAAGGGGCAGTTAATTTTTCAACTTTGGGCTGAAAAAATGGCCGTTTTTTGTCCAAAATATGGGGGGTGGGCGTCTATTAGAGGATGGGCGCTAAATAGAATTATTACGGTACCAACAAAAAATCATGGTTTAAGTAATGACAGTGATTTAAGTTTACCTGTAACAATGAATATTAACATCTAATCACGCATTTCAAAATATCAAATTACCAGACATACCTATAGAAACTGAAAGACAAGATATTGTTAATATTCCTAATGAAGCAGATACAATTTCTGTTTTAAAAAGTATAAAATAAAGCAAATTCCAAAATATTCAATCAGAGAAACAACAACAGTAAAAACTATAAAATACTTAAGAAAACAAACAACTTCACAATAATTCTAGACAAAACTGGATAACCATACCCATACTTCAATATGGCACCAAAGAAGAAAGGAAGAAAAAATAAAGAAATACAATTCAATATTCCTTAACCTATTGTTTTTCTTCAATTAGAGGACAAAATGTAAATGTTCTTTGTTTTTCTCGATTTCTTATTCAGATTTCAACACATGTTTTGGTTTGTCATATCTCCACGGTCAATCCACCTAACCACCTTTCCTGGATTACAAACCAGTAATTACCAATTTCTACGCAAGTGGCAAGACTACTAATCTTAAATCAGCGGTGAGAAAAACATGTTAAATAAAACTTTCTATTAAACTTACATTCAGGTAATGACTAACTACTGGCGAAGCCCTTCTTCTAAATAATACATAAATAATTCAAAATCCTTGTCTAGTTTCAATTTTTCCTTCAGACCCTTTGGAAGAGGTAATTTGTCAATTGCTGCATGAATGTTCCTTGTAGGAGCCAGACATTTTCGTATCCTGTAGCTACACTGTCGGAAAAGGTTAATCTGGTCGAACATTTGATGGGAAAACCATGCACTCTCCCTGTCTGTGTTATCAGGTGTGATATCATCTACCCAGATATCCCGTGGGTCAAGCATTGCACCAGCAAGTATAACATAAGCCCGAATTTGTGCCAACGCTGTAAATTGAAATTTATATGTGTCATGAAAAAATAAAAAGCAGGATAATTGAATAAAGAAATTGTTATACAATTTTTTTTACAGATTTACTTATTGATATATAACTGAAACATATGTAGGAAAAACATCATAGATAGCAGCTAGCCAAATGCATTACATTATTTGTGACATCACATTCATTACTTTTATTATTTTAATGAAAATATCTAGCAAAGCATTTTTAAAGATATTAATCATGTGCTGTTCACTTACTTTTTATACATGTATGAAATATAGGTATTAATAAATAAAGCAGCAGATATCTATCACATTTTTTTTTTACCCAACTATAATTTAATGTCAGATGTATTCTGTCAGAGACATGAAAGTGATTTTTTCTGGTTTAATGCAAATTTTACACATTATTTCAGTAACTTGCAGCCCTTTTCACAAATTTGTTTACGACAAATCACCATTTCATGAAATATCTTAAGAAAATCATAAGTGCCAATTCTGTCGTAACTTTACCAAAGTTGTACCAAATTTGTGTTAACGTAAATTTTTTTCTTTTAGGAAGTAAAACATCACATATGTTTTATCTAAACAGAACAAAATATGGAAGGACAAATATATATGCAAACATTACATTGAAAATAACGCAAATCAGAATTATTTTTTAAACGTAAATATTACAACATCATGATATGACACAACATATGTAAATACTGTGGTGGCCAAGAATTTTTGAAAACTTATGTTTTGTACCATGCCATGTGTTTGATTTCAGCATGCAGATAACCGATTGTTCAAATGTTAATATAAGGCTTTATATAAACACTGGACTGATAGCCTGTCATTAAACAAACTAAAATGTATACATGTATTAATATTTTGACTGTCAGATAATTTATGGAAACAGGTAAATTTTGAAGTAATTATTAAACAATAACTGAAATATAATGTCATAAGGTCTTACTTGAGGATATATTACATTGCATGTTGTCATGGCGATATTCTTTTGGATCAGCACCAGCATTTATCAACATTTTCACACAATCAAAACATCTGTCATTTTGCTGGAAAATCCTGACTAGTATATCTGAAGTCATTAACTTTTGGAACTCTTCTGATGGAATTGACCTATTTCTATCAACCAAGTCAAAATTTGTTGTTAAGACAACTTTCTCTGGCAGATGGTCCTCATTTAATGGGGAAACAGTATTATACCAAGCAAGCTGTAATAGTGAGATTCCATAAAAATCTTTAATATCTACTCTTGCACCATTGTCGAGTAAGAATTCAATCATTTCTATATTACTGAAGAAAACACTATGAAATAAAGGTGTCCATCCATAGTTATCAGTTATATTTACATCCATGCCACTGTCAATAAAAATTTGAGCGACATTCTTATGATTATACTCACAGGCCCTGTGTAACACAGTTCTGCCACAGTCGTCTACCTTGAGCATGTCAGCATGTTTTTCAAGTAAGTATTTTACCAAATCACTGTGTCCATACCTCGCTGCAAAATGTAGTGGCGTTGCTCCACCTTTTTCAGTAGCATTGACGTCACACACTGATTTCTTGCTTCCCTCCAGAAATAACTTTGCAAGTTCAACCTGTCCTAATTTAGCAACAATGTGCATCGGCCTCAACCCTCTGGGTGTTGACTCTGCAAGGTTTGGATCAGTACTTTCAGCCTTTAATAATGTTTTTATTATATGATACGAAACTTCACTCTGTTCTAAAGCCTGTGTGAGTGGTTTTTTAACCAGTATAATAGTAGCATTAGTGTTTACTCCCCTGTCCACAAGGTCTTGTAGATGACTTGTGTCTCCTCTTTCTATTGCACCAACCATTAGAAATTGCAGCTCTTTCTGGTATCTTTTTTCTAAAAATAAATCATTAGATGTATTATTATAATTATTGAATAATACTGTTACAATTTCAAACTTTACACCCAGGATTGCACTTACTGTCCAAGGATTACACTTAACCTCCAGTGAATCGGCCAAATATTTAAGTTATGAGTACTATCTATTTTCTCTCCAGAGCAATTTCCAAATATTTTAGCACCGTTCATTTTCTTGCTAGTGAAATAAAGTTTGACAGGGCCTGAACTCATATAAATTATTCCCCCCAAACTTTTCAACTCTTCTTTTACAAAAAAGTAAAGCTATTTTCCTCTATAACCTCTAATAAAATTGTTTTTTTGTTTTTTTTTGTAGGTTTTTTTAACATGCATGTATCTGTCAAAAGCAAAAGACCTTTTATGATATCCTACTCATAATTGCAATTTGATTTTTAATTTTTTTGTAATTATTAACATAATTAGTTTTATATACCGGTAAATTAAATCACTAAAAGAGAAAATGACAGAAATTCTCCTTTTCCAGGTACTATTGCCCTGTAACACAGAGAAAGCCCTGGTAGTGATTCACTTAGTTGGCTTGCTATGGTTGCATGATTGTACTCTGCTGACATAACTCTTCAAATGATCACAAATTAAGGAGGATCACTCAGCCCAGCCTGATCAGCCCAGCCCCTATGTGTATATAGATTGTACATGCAGTTATTTTGTACACTTTACTACTCATGTTTATTATACACCAGATGTACAGATACTAAACACACTATAGAACACACATGGTAACAAGTTTTGTTAAAGTGACATTATGCCCATGCAAGAGTGTATAATGAGTGAACGGGTGAATATCAAAATAAGTTTTCATTTTGCCATTATTCCTTTTCTGTACGAAATCTGCTGTGGTCATAGTATTATTTTTACAATAGGTTTACCTCTTAGATTTGGTTTGCTATTTCTAATCATGGTCATGCAACTACATAGTTAGGTTCAGAAGCAGACGCTTGTTTTGGTTGAGTCTATTATGTTTTGTTTAGGGGATGAGTTGTCCTACACAAATTTACAATTTATATGAATTTATTTTTTTCCAATGATTGTTATTATCTTAAATGCTTCTGGGATTGTTGTTTTATCAATTCATTTGTAAATAAGATTGTTATATCTCTATTAACGGAATAATTTTAATGAACACGAAATTAGTTCACACCTTTATGTGTATTGATAACATGATGGTTTAAGCCAATGAAAACACATCAATATTATTACAATCAGGCAGAGAAAAAGTTTGCAAAGAGTAAAGCGATAATCTTTATGTAGCAAACAAACTTTGAATTGCAATATTTTTTCATATCTTTTCGGCAGGATAAACTGTCCGAGGAGGGCCAGGCATTTTCGTATCGTAAAATGGCTGCCATTTACAGTATCAAGTGATTATCCCAAGCACCACTGCGACTTAGCGCGGGAATTATAAATATAGCTAACCTTGGCGCGTCGCATAGGATGGAAAACACCTTTTTTCATATTTTATTGTAATAAATATTTACAAACTGTGTCTTTCGGGGGTTTTTTTTATCAATATATAACCAATAATGATGTTTATGTGAATAAATAATCATATCTCAAATCTGCGACTATGACTTACAATGAAATTCTACTTTAATGTTTTAGTGTAAAAGGTTTTTAATTTCCTGTAATTTTATTCTGTGATTATGCTTCAAGGCAGTCAATAATTGACCGTGAATTTTCTTTTCATATTTTGATTTCCTTGAAATCATTTTTCTCATCTGAAGGCATGCAACTTTAATATGATGATACATTTATTACATTCCATGAAAATGTTTAAAGATATAAAATATCTCATGACATGTTTGTTCATTTTACATTACACCTATAATGCAGCAAGCATAAAAAGTCTTCACAAAAAGTAGTATGCAATCGTACCTATATTACATACGAATGTATGTAATATTTTTCTTGTTATTTAATAATTATGTGCATGTATAATGAGTGAACGGGTGAATATCAAAATAAGTTTTCATTTTGCCATTATTCCTTTTTATTTAATTATTAAGATCACATAAACAATAAATTACGCAGAGATCCCAACAAAATGTCTTTAAATATACATTAGAATTTACATGTTACGCCTGTAGTTTATAAAAAGAGTGGGGCAGTCTTTTAAGATTTTAGGCAGATTTATAATTTTATACAAAACATTTTCCAATATCAACTGTTGGTCAAACACCATTTTGTAAGTTAATCTTTTGAAATATAAAGTCAATTCAGCTGAATTTGACTTTGAAAATATGAGCATAATGTCACTTTAACTCTGTATGTATATATATGTATAATAGACAACTAATGAGCGCATAATAACCTAAAAGTACATATACATGTACTTTATTTATTCAACTCACTGTATGAACAATTATTTTCTCCCTGTTTATGTAAACATTTTCCTACATTCTATTGACCTATACATGTATAAATCATCTTTACTTCAAATAGCAACAGAGAACTGAGTACTCTACCTGTAGAGAGAACTTTTACTTTGTTTTCCCTGGTTGGGGGAATTTCAGGCAATTTTTGCTGCACATTCATACGCGATAATTACATAATTTTTTTGCAACAGTTCAAGCCCTGTGACCCATTAATTTCACAGAAAAATATAGTATTTTTATGGGAAAATATACCTATTTTGGGCTAGGGGAAGAGTCTTTATTCGCTAGTAAAAGTATAGGAGAAATTTTAGAATCACAGATTCCGAAACATTTTTTTCTAGTTATTTATAACATTTATGCCTGTTAAAGAACAGAAACATTCTATGACACAACACTTTTGATACTCAACCTTATTATAATGGAAACAACATGTATTTTACCGTTTCTAAATTTTAATAGATCAGGGCTGAGAATCAGAATTGTGTTGTATCCTACAACATGTAAATGAAAAACTAAATAAAGGTTATACTATGGTTTAGTTTATTGAATAGTCTTTTTGTTGGAAATGACTGAAAACCAGATTTTATGTATTAACACATCCCACAATTTATTGCTTCAATTTTGCTACATGTTGCTAGCAAAGCTATTTTGTTTTGTTTGTTTGTTTGTTTGTTTCATTTTACGCCTTTTTCAACAGTATTTCAGTCATATAGGCGGGTAGTTTCCTAACCATCGTTCCTGGAAGCTATTTTGTAAAACAAAAGTTATAGTTTTGTGGATACCTCACAATTCATAGTGCTGTTTTCATTGTTTGTTTTTTTCTTCTTCATAGCTTAATTGTTTCAGAGTTTACCATAAACTTCAAAATATGATTTTGCATCATCTCCTAAAATTTCATTTTAAAGAGAAGATTATTTTCCAAGAAAACAATGATTTATACGAAATGATACAACTCATTTGGAAATCAAATAAGATACGACACAGTTGTATATTTTTGCAATCTTTTCATCATGACATAAAGCATAAACTTACCGTCAGTAATCATTACCGACTTACACCCACTGTTGTGTTTCTGATAGAGGAATCTATCTTTTAAATCTGCTAAGTAATTGTCAAACATTAAAATGGACATGGCACCATAAAAATACAGTCAAAATAGTAATTTTATATTATTTTGTTTTTCATTCGATATTTTGACTGATATGGGAAACGTTCACTTCAATGTATCACTCATGCCTTGAATACTGTGCACCCCCAGTGTTAATACATACATGTATATCTGGTTTTCAGTCATTTCCATAATAAACAAAAAATAGGTTTTTTATTCAAAGATGGCGGCGTTTGTTTATAAGATTGTGCCCATAAAACTTCATGCAAATTGTTACAGAGACATGTATTCCACCTTTGTTGCCCTAATATGATAAATATTGGCATGTGTAACATCATCCCAACACCATTTTAATTTAATACAAAATAAATCATATGCCAGTTGGCTTAAATTTCTCTCATTTATATCAGACATGCCTTAGTTTTTAGGCTTATATCGGGGACACTTATCATTTGGAGGTGGGGCATTGATCAGCAACAGTATTTTTTTCTAAAAGTTACATAGTGGCATACAACCTTTATTGACAACATGAAAAAGACAAAATGTCAATAATTATTAACAGTTTTTCTACCTTTTCTTTTAAAGTATTAAGGCTTCATCAATTCAATTAGTCACAGAAAAGAATAAAGCTATGTTAAATATGGACAATTAGCCATGTGTTTGGTAAAAATACCTGAAACATTTGCCGAATCCTGTAGATTTCATCACATTCATTTAGCAATAAATCAGCACTAATAATTGCCTGCAAGCAGATTAAATTTATGCTGGCCACTTGTTAATTACAGTTTATGACACTTTCGCTCAGGAAGGAAGCCACATGGGGGTAAACAATCTTTTGATTGATCAAAATAATTGCTGATAATAGTTAGTTGGAAGGGGCTAATAAATTTACCGATCAAAGGATGAGCATCACTATTCAAATAAAACTATTTATAATTTATATACTATGCAAATTTAAGTTGCTTAACTAACAGTTCATACAGCATGTTTAATCTATAATTAGTTTAACTCATGATTTTTTTCCCTGTATTTTGTTGGTTTACTGCAAGATAGAAGATCTATTTTAAGTAGTGACAAGAAAAGCATTGATGCAAAGCATCAAAGGGCGTCCAAGCAAGAAATGCAGAAAGTGAAGATGAACTATAGTAGACATATGATGACAAGATATTCTTATAAACTTTTCAATGGTTAATTGGTTTTTACCAGAATGAACAGACGATAGACATTGTTCATTATGAACTTTGATTGGCATGCTAGAGATTAGAATATTACTTGTTATTTCTTTATGATCGTGATTATTAATAACAACGGATATACATGTATACAATCATTTATAATCCATATGTGTAACTCATGATCAACACGACATTTGTGGAATTGTCCCTTATTATGTTATCGCTATTAGCGAAGACCCCTCTTAAGGTATCTGTTCACACTTAGTAAAAATATGATACTGGTTATATTACCATGTTGATCAT